AAAGCAGGGGATGCTTTAGGGTGGGGCTACACAGTGATTGACAGGTCGCTGCTGCTACCAGAGACGTATACGGCGTCTCTACGTCACTCCTTTTCACTTGTATGAAGTCATTTCTCTTGAGCACAAAACAGGAGCAGCCTGTCACTCCTTCAGAGCAGGTGCACATAAAACCTTTATGACAGCAGAGAATAGGAGAGAATGAAAAGAAACATTTCCTCCGTCAGCCGAGGCTCAAATTTCCTTCCGACCTTTGAACTGCCAGCTTCTCCCCACAAGGTCTATTTGGTAGCTGCTCTGAAGCGTTCCATCATATCACAGGAAAATCATCAGCTGCTGGATTTTGACATTTGAAGATTTTTGTCAATTTTCCGTTAAAGGACTTTTTTTTTTAAGCCAAAATGGATGAGAAGTCCTTTGAGTACTCAGAAACACGTAATTCAATGACAACAAACAAACTCCACCTCCACAACACACAGCTACCACACGAGCAGCAGTCTGGACTGTTTAAACCAAATCTGTCTTTGGACAATTACCAACAGGAATTCTGGGAAAATGGAGAAAAACCAAAACGCTGCAGTAGATGGAGGCTGTTGTAATCATATTGTTCCGGAGTTGATTGGATTTATTGACCAACGGCAGCGACTATAAATGAATATATAACGCTGTAAAGACATTGTTTACCGCACACTTTCTCATTTATAATTGTGTCTCAGTTTGTTTCTCTTATTTTACTTCCGTCTCCATCACTTGCTCGCTCCTTTATTATCTTTGCTGCACGCTGACACACACACACACACACACACACCATCTCTGTCTGGAGTAGAATTGTCAGTGTGCAGCCAGATTCCTCTGAGATGGTGCGTATTGAAATAAAGGGTCTGTGAGATGCCTGCGTGTGCTCTGATGAATGCCGATCTCATTTGCTCTTCCGCAGATAGCGACTCCTCTCCCCCTCTGATGTCCCCCCCCCCGGCCTCGCCCCCCCCCCCCTGATAAATATTGAATGGTGTTAGATGTGTTTCAGAGACTCTTTGAGTTGTTCTCTCTCTTTCTTTATCTGGCCTCCGTGTTTTAGAATGTGTGTGATTGGGTCTTGTATCAGGATCATGGGAGCAGGCGTGCTCTGTACATTTAACAGAAAGTAGTCCACACAGTACTAGTAAATACATCTTAGGCTTGCACCATATGGTAGAACACATTTGTGGCTATAAGTGCTCATATTTTTAGTCCTTTATGGTGCTGTAAAAGATCTTGGAATGCAGCGCTGCTGTCCACTGATCTGAGAAATGCCTTTCTGTCCGTCTGTCTTCTTTATAGTCTTCCACATATACTTTTATCTTTCAGGCTGTTGTCAGGACATCAAAGCAGAACAATTTAATGTCCTTTTTTTATTGAGGCAGTCGTGGCCCACAGTCCTCGAATGGTAATACAGGAATATATTGTTATATACATATTGTTTGTCCAAGTGCTGAATAAGAGCAGGTGGAGTTTAAAAGGGCACATATCATGAAAATGTTCCCTTACCAGTGGTTGTTTGGGTATCTGGTGTACCAACCCACAAACTGTGACATACAACAACACAGTCGGTGTTTCTTTTGGGCAGCCTGGTTCAGAAAACCTGTGATTCAACAAGTCATTCAGTTTGCCATCCCCCCCCTGAGTATCTCCACCCGTGGTTTTGAGAACTACCTTTACAAAGGTGCACTATATTTTTCTTGCCAGCCAATCAGAGCAGACTAGGCTTTTTCAGGAGGGTGGGCTTAAAGAGACGGGCGCTAAAATGGAGCGTTTCAATACATCTATGATGCAAATGTCTCCTCTCTGTTGAGATGACCAGTGTTAGATGCTCTTTTGTGCACATTGCTTATTGTTTCTTAGTTTATCTGTGGATGCACAGGACACATTGGATATGTTCATCTGTGAGAAAAAAACACAACAGACAACAACTTAAAACATATAATTAAAAAAAGATCTTTTTCTTGTTGATGACTCGAGTAAACTCACCGACCAGAGATGAGTCCAGACCTGTTAAAGTCCCTCTTTGTTGGCTGCTTTAAAACTCTGCTGATTAAATAAACAGTTTGCATTGTAAATCCATACAGATTACACACACACACACACCTGCCCTGTAGCTGTACGTCCTCTTGGCACCCAAAGTGCCATGGCAACCGGCAGGCTCATTTTCATACTGATGAGGCGGCCTGGCTGCTGCTGCTGCTGCTGCTGCTGCTGCTCGCTCATCTCTCCTCTCCGGTGTCGCTCTGAAATTTTAATGACCTTCTCATTTTTCTCCACTTTGCTCTCAGCGGGCCGTGTTTGTGCGTACGTGTCATGAGTCTCGGCCCCGGTGTTCAAACAGACAGAGTGTCCGTTTGACTGTTTGATACCAGAGGAGAACAAAGGCCATGTCATTGTCAATACATTTCTTAAAGGGGCATGTATTTTTACACCTGTGGCAGACCACCTCCCATCTGCTCGCCGTGGCTTCGTCAGGTTAGCGGCTCCGCCTACGTTTTAGCTCCTGAAAGACACTCGAGTTTGTAACGGGTTGGGGTGTTCTGAGACGCGGCAAGAGGTCGTGATTCAGGTTCAAACCCGCTCCTTCTGAAAGGACGTGTCACCCTGAAGAACAGGGGTACAACGCTCTCTGAAGCCATCTCACTCTTCCTCTGCAACTCTGTGCTTTGTTCCAGGACGAGGCCGGAGACGAAGAAAACGGCCGGATCGAGCCGGTCGGTCGAGCCGACTCCTGCATGGACCACACCCCCGTGAGGTCACTAGAGTAAGTCCCTCAGTCGTGCATCAGCTCCGCCCACTTTCTGCCTCTCTGTGTCCTCAACATTCCTGCTGAAACCCGATGACAGACTGCAGTTTTATTCCAAAATGGGAAAAGTAATACCTTTTCTCTCTGTCACTAAAAATCAATAAATCTGAACATTCACATTTGCACATTCATTGAAGATTGAACTATCCGTGTTTGTGCAAATGTTTTTTCCCCCCAAATACATTTGGAATGAAACTCATTTTAGTGTCACACCTGCATAACCCTACAACAACATTCTGTTATTACTACTACTCCGTCCCTCTTCTGTAGTCTTGGCCAACTTTTCAGTAATTATAACGTTGGACTCAACAGATGCATGTCGCTCAGACAGCGGTGTTGCCGTGTTCCCAGATCCCTGCAATTAACCCCAAGAGCTCAATTAAAATCAAATAGGAAACGATGGCCAAAACTAAGAAGAAAAAGTTTTCCCCTTCAGAGCTGACCTGGGTACAGCCGCTCTGGCCTCCCTTTCTCTACATAATGAGTACTTTGGAGGTAGACCAGCAGGTGCGATATTGTAATCCAGGTTTGTTTGTAGAAAATCTCATTTCAACCCTGCGTTGTGATTTGCATAATTCTCTTTTGTGGAGGCAAAATGATCCTCGTCTCGCCATCGAAGCTCTCCCACGCACTAACCCATTCAGCTCCCGTTATTAACCACTGTGTTTTGTTTTGTTATTTTGCTCTGTTGCATGCTTCCAGTTTAATATGCAGGTATGGTACTGTTATTATTCCTATGATTTCCCAGAGACTCTGACTCCCCCCCGCCCGCCTCTTAGTTGTCAACAAGGGGCCCATTTTCCCTGAGCTAATCATAGTCATTGTATCAAAGCTGTGGGCAGATTAGATTTGGCATCTTGTAAAATGTGCCAGTGTTTAGATGTTTGACAGCCGCGCTGACTAACGGGCGAAGAACGCCGCCGGTATTATATATAGCACTTTTGTGCGAGTCTGTTCTTTCCCTGATTATTCCTGTTTGTTACCGTAGTAGTGAGCTAGACCGCTTTTTCAAGTCACTCATGGCGACATTCATGATTATCTCGATAGTTAAAATTCACCATGATCAACTTTTTTAATCACGATCAGCAATAAATTCCTATATAGTTCAATCCCGAGTCACCTCTGTCAGCGCTGTTGCAGTTCTTTGCACTGTTAGCGCTGTTGGCTGCTAGCTCATATTCTGAGCCGTGTGGAGGCAACCCCTCGATCACAGATATGCTCTGAATTTGAATTATTATTAGGTGTGTTGCTGTTTTTCAGCTATGCACAGCAAGTTTGCACACTAACAGTCGTAACCAAGTTTCACGTTTCCTGGACCAAGAACTGATTTCCACCGTAACATGTCAAAAGTCAAAGCGTTCGACTTGAATTCAAACACATCTTGTCTTTTTTCTGACGTGCTGCAATGTGAAACAAAAGAGGAGAAAATCAACAAGTAGCATCATGCACCACGCCTGTTCTTTGAACACTTTGAATAGCGATTTGTGGCGCATTCCAGTTGGACATCTACAGCACGTAGGATGAAGACTGTGTGACACAAGGAGGACGGTGTTACACTGTGTAGATGAGTGTCTTCAACACGTACGTCAGACTTTAGCATCATTGTAGGATTGTAGCTTTTCTCCGACCACAACAAACCTTTGCAGCATTTTTCAATTCAAGTGCATCCTTCTTCAAGTTCTCAGTCTCTGCTGATGCTCTGACTTGTGTGTGAGGGTTTTGGTGTTCCTAGTTATTACTTACGTGAGTTTGATTTATTTGGATTGCTCTGTTTTATTGTCTTTTTGTCAGTCTCCTCCAACACCTTCTTGCTTTCTGATTTTATTTCACTTTTGTTGTCATCATCATCATCATCTCATTTTCCTGTTTTGTTTTTCCCCACATGGTGTCACCCCTCCCCTCTCCCCTCTCCTCTCTCCTCTCCCCACCCACCCTGGTCTCTCCGTCTGCCATCCGTCACCGTCTCCCAGAGACATAGTCAAACTGGTGGAGGTGTCAAACGACGGCGGGCCGCTGGGAATCCACGTGGTGCCTTTCAGTGGCAGGGACCGCAGGTAACACTGACCAGAGCAGAGGCGTGGTGCTGAGTAAAGGAGTGTCCACAGGGCCTTACACACATCTAAGAAAGCTCAACAGAGAACCGAAACCCTTTCAAATAACTTACTATTTGTGTAAAGATTGGTATGAAAGGTGTTGTATTGAAAACTATCTTATCAACTTAGTCTCCACATTTACAGTTCTGTACTTTAACTAGCTGTGTTTAAAAAGAGAGAGACTAGTAACCAAGTAATCTGTGGGATCTTTTCTATTTTTTTTCAGGAGAGCCCAATGTCCCACTTTCTCCCTTTAGCTTAGAACGTGTCAGCCTTATTGTAGACTTGTACAAAATGAATTCACACTTGTTGAATTTGGTTTCACATACAAAAACAATTGCATCCAACCTGGAGAGAAGTGTACTGCATCACATGAGACACGCAAACATGCATACCGGACATTCCTCTTTGATGCCACATGTAACCACTTCATCACTCGTATAAACCCAATGGCACGCACGCTCACACACACGCTCACACACACGCTCACACACACGCTCACACCCTCGCTCACACTCGCAGGTTTGACGGCATCGTGAAGCCATTTTGCCAGTTTACACTCATCAATCATGCTTGTTCGGTTCGCCGGTTCGCAGGTGACCGTCATCTTTTTCTCTCCGGCAGCTGTCACATCAGCTTTACATGGTACAAAGGACACGTTGAACAGTGCACACAACACATACACACACACATACCTGCAACATATTCTGTAGCACGCATACACAGCTGGAAAAAAGCTGTGTAGGAATTAGAGGAATTTCACATCTGGTTTAAATTTACCCAGAGAGTCAGTTTTAGGAGCGTTGTTATCCAAGTCATACAGCCTTTCATAGTCGCTACAAGACTCCAGTTAAAAACCTCAGGAGAGTTGAGTGTACAACATCGTTCAAAGCTGACATTTACACGGAGGTGCTTTGCATTATTGAAAGAATATTTAGAGTGTATCAAACCAGCGTGGACCAGTTTGAGTTGAGTCTTAATCTTCATGTGTTTTTATAGAGCAGAGCTGTTCTGCTGCCAGCACGGAGCCAGCTGCAGCCCCACAAACGTCTGAACTTTCTTTATGTACGACTCTTTCCCCCGAGACTCGATCAGCGACTTCAGACTTGCTGTCGCGCTTTATTGAAAACCAAGATTATATCACTTTTCCCAACCGGCCCGACTCAATCAACCTAAAAGCACATTTATAATGCACTTTTCAGTTATTGGGGAAATGTCAGGGTATAGGCGTTATCCCAAGATTAAGATGCCTGGCTTTCATCAGAGAAGTAGCCCCTCCGCTGCAAATCTCATTGTGTTCTCACTCAAATTCAATCAGCGGAATTGTCTCTGAACTTTTTTCAACTCCTGGACTTTTCTGCCCCCCCCGCCTGTAGTCGCATTTCCATTCATATTGAATGATAAGCCCCAGGCGAGGGCGAGCATTGAACCCTAAAATCAACCCAATTTACCTCAGAGAAAGACCCCGATGCACAGGGACACGAGCTGTATAACTGAAGAGGACTCGATTAGGTTCGGGCCCTCTTTCCCACCCGCGCTTGATTTTTCCTCTTCTGGCTCAGATCTGAAATCCGCAAAGCGCCCTTTTTCAGGTGAAGTCTCGCTGCGGCGGCACAGGGAGGCACAAGCCGGTTTGCCACGCCGGATTACAGCGTGCGCGATAGACCGGCCCGCTATCACGGTTTAACCGTGCGGCTTTCTGTCGCTCTAAGAAAGCACTTTCTTTATCTTTAAAGGAAAGGGCAGCAGTGTTCCTCTGAGGTTAGGAAATGAACACCTGCAAAGCATCCCCCCCCCAGCAGAGCTGCAGTGGAGTTGTTCAATCTGTTGATTGCCTTTGAATAGAGCAGCCTCCTCCCCCACACAGCCCCAAAGCACCCTGATGTGATGCGACTGCTTTCTCACTGGTACACTGATGATGCAAATGACAGCACCACACTGTACGCTTGATGAAGTAGAGGCAGCAACAAGGCTTTTTCTAATTTTCTTTAATATTTTTGTTATGGAAAAAGCTTCTCATTAACATGCCGGCACACACTGATTCTTGCGTAGCTGTTTGTGTGAACGGGGATGTTTGTGTTCAAGAATCCATTTTTATAGCAGCAATAAAACAAATGCCACAAAGCAACAAAAGTGGGAAACACAGAGACTTTGAGTGACCGTTGGAGTCCTTAAAGGGATTTGACCGGTGAGCCCACTAGACACAGACACGTACAGAAGAGGATTTTCCTCTGGACACAATATCTTTGGCAGGGTTCCGTGGTAATAATTCCAGTCCAGTATAGTACACCTCAGCTCCGTCCAGCCACATTGAATCATCACAGACGTCGTCTTGCATCTTGCTGACATGAACTTCTGCACCTTTCAGGACTCTTGGCTTGTTGGTCAAGCGTCTGGAGAAGGGAGGCAAGGCCGAGCAGCAGGGCCTCTTCCAGGAGAACGACTGCATCGTCCGAATCAATAACGGAGACCTGCGAAACATCCGCTTCGAACAGTAAGATGGCAGCTCACGGGAACCCCCCCCCGCTGCTGAGCTGTGGCGGTCCCAGGGCTTCCTGTGTGACCTTCGCTTCTTCCCTCGTCTAACACCTCCAGCCCTAAACCTTTGCTGTTATCCTGTCTCCTTATGCCTTTGTGAGCCTCCTCTCTGCCTCGCTGCTGCTGCCGGTGCACAGGCTCCTCCGCTGCCCGTCACTGTGCTGAGCTAACCTTTCCCTGTTTAACTCCCGTAGGTCACATCCCCAAACCGCTGAAGTGGTTCCCCCCCTTGCAATCCTCTAAGCCTTTATCCCCCGTGTTTCGGTAACGTCTCCGCTGAACTCCTAATGCAACACCTCTCTCGCTCCTAACATCCGGAGCCTCTGCTTTCCAGCCCTGCTCTCACACTTTCATGATACCTTCCTAACCAAACCCTCCTGCTAACTCCGCTCCCTGCGTGCATGCCTCCACGCTGCGTCTATAATGTTGCCTGCTCAGAAAGCCAGTGATGCATATTTGTGCTTGATTCTGTTCTCGCCCGTCAGCATAAATGTATATAACATACATGTATCTTTTCAACTTCAGTATAGAATTCATATATGTTATGCATTTAAGGCAGAACCACCCACACACACACACACACACACACACACACACACACACACACACACACACACACGTTTTATGATCATGCATTTCTGTCCCATGGGACTTTACATGTAGTATTTATATAATAAATAATTTTTAAAGAAATCAATCAATCTATCGAATCAATCTTATCTATCTTGCATATAGTTTTGGTTTCATTTGTTGAGGCTTTGAAGTGTCTTATCGAAGTGATTTTTATCACCATTTTAATCTCTGCCGTGATACAGGGGAGCTTCACTTGAATAGAAGTGTCTCTTTCATGAAACAGAGTCCCTGTATTTTGCATAATACGAACATCATGCTGTCAGCAGTTCCAACAAAGGGACTACTTATTTGGTAGAAATAGTTTAAACACTCACTACCATTGTGTTGCAGTGGAGGCAGAAATCTAGATAAACACTTGGCAATCACGACGAAATACATGTGAGAAATTATACAATTTGGGTGAATCATGAGTCAAGCAATGGGCGGGAATAAAGCTTCTATAGATTGTGCTGTTACAAGAGCGTCAACAGTTGTTATTTCACACTATTGTTATAAGAGAGCAGATTACATCGTGTCCGACACAAAACTCAGCCTGAAATCGTAAAAAGATGCCGAGACAAGACCCCCGGGGAAGGTTATTAGTGGCTGGGAAATTCTCTGAGGGGGCCACGTTTTAGTCATTCCGGGGGCAGCGGGGGCAATAGAAACTCTGGCGGCCCCGGCATTTTCCGGAACATCCGTGCAGCTGTCAAGGCGCAAGGGAAGAGCGGTACCCAAGCTTTCTTTTATTGAAACAGGTGGTGCTAACCAGGCTCCGCTTACAGGGTGCTGACAGTCAACATAACTTCCCATTCACACCTACTGTACATGAGCTCCCAGCACAAAAAAGGGGGTTTAAAAGAGGATTTTCTACAAACTATCCGACGGATAGAGGTCTCCTTCGTCTGGAGCCAAGTGAGGAGATTATGTGATGAAGCTGTCGGGGAGGGTTCGGTCTCTTTTTAGAGCC